GTCCGTACCGTACCGTACCGTAACCGTAACCGTAACCTACTACCTACCGTACCTACCGTACCGTACGTACTACGTACTCTCTCTCTCTCTCTCACCGACGCGCGCGCGCGCGCTCTCCTCTCTCTCTCTCTCTCTCTCTCTCTCTCTCTCTCTCTCTCTCTCTCTCTCTCTCACGAGAGGCCCAGGGCCCAGCTGCATGAGATTCTTTCTCTCCTAGCGAAGTGCGAGCAGGAGATGCCGCCGCTATGTATAGCTCCCCACGTATAGCTCCTGGCCGTGCTGCAGTGGGGAGGTAGCGGGGATGGGAGCGGCGGGAGACCGTAGCTGTATCAGGTTACACGGTGATCGGACGCGCGGCAGGTGGAGGCTGGCGCGAGAGAGATCGGTGACGATGATGACGTCGGCAGTGAAGCGTCAACGATGCGCGCGCCCACGTGTTACGATGTCGGCCGCACGTTGCCTCGACGTGGGAAGACAACCCGGCAAAGAGACATCCCTGCAGTGTATTATCGTGAGGTGGCCGCACCTGGCTGCAGGAGCCTGTTGTTGGAGATAAGATACGTCTTAACGTTAGCCTTAGCTTTACGGTGTTTCTGACAACGGGCTCCCCTTCCCCGGATCGCGAGTGTCTCCCCTTTCCCGGATCGCGAGTGCCACCCCTTCCCCGGATCGCGAGTGTCTCCCCTTCCCCGGATCGCGAGTGTCTCCCCCGTTCAGTCGGGTGATGGTTGTATTCCTCGGTTCGAGCAACGCCAGCGACCTCTACATTTGGAAATGCGCCCAGACGGTACAATTGCGAACAGCAGTAACAGCAAGTGCGTTCACGCATCCGACGCTGAAAGGTTTCGTGCGCGTGACGTCACGACGTTGTGACGTAGAGCTGCGCTAGTTTATACTAAGAATCAGAACTGTGATATATGTGGTTTACGTTCCTGTTTGAAGCTCTAGCACGCGAGAAATGTGCGTACGTGGGCCCGCGCGCTTGTACGTGCATGCGTGCGTGTATATGTGTGCGTACGTGCGTCCTCGCGCTTGTACGTGCATGTGTGTGTGTACGTGTATACGTGCGCCCGCGTGCTTGTACGTGCATGCGTGCGTGTATATGTGTGCGTACGTGCGCCCTCGCGCTTGTACGTGCATGTGTGTGTGTGTACATACGTGCGCCCGCGTGCTTTTACGTGCATGCGTGCGTGTATATGTGTGCGTACGTGCGCCCTCGCGCTTGTACGTGCATGTGTGTGTGTGTACATACGTGCGCCCGCGTGCTTGTACGTGCATGCGTGTATGTGTGCAGACGTCTTGATTCGTTGTAGATTGTTAAATGCGTAATCGCGCAAATAAAATCCGTATCAAAATGCTATCGTACAGGCATGCGTGCAGTGAAGTTGCTTTCTATTTCTAAGGACGATAAGAACTGGGCTATGTAGTTTGGTAACGTGCTTAGTAGGTATAAGCTATAAGCAGTGCTCATGGGGATTGTTACCTGCCATCATTCGTACAAACAAATTACTAAAATATAATATCCCATCTATGACGCAACAGACTAGAAGTCATGCTTGATCCGTTATAGTAAGCCGTCGTAAAGGCAATTCTCTGACCATTTCCTTTATTGTACTCCATAAATTCGTAACCTAGCTGTGCATTCTGTAATTTGTTTCCATTACTAGTACAGCACGTGCACTGTGTAATAGTCATGTAATGGTACATAAAAGTGTAACAATCAAAGTAAAACAACATAAGTAAAGAAATTTACATGGCAAGCAACAATTTAAATTATAAAATCAATTTATTACGAAATTATGGCATCATGTGTGACATAGAGACCACCATATGAAGGTTTATGCCTGGTTGGCCTACTCCTATTTCGTCTATAGCAAAACTCCCAGTTAGTCTACACCCATTTAGTCTACTCTGAGAATGGGTAATAGTACCATTTCGTCGTAGTAATGATATTACAATAAATACCAGGAGAAATTAGTGTGGATGCCACTCCGTCTAGTCCAGGGGTGGGCAAACTTTTCAAAGCGAGGGCCGCATCAGTGGGCCATGAAAAGTCAAAG